TTGGATGACCTATTCTTATTATTACTATACACTTACCTGAAGGAAGGTCACATCCATATATCTCTACTCGCACACATGCAGGATTAAAATAGGAAAATCCTCCTTGTTTTTTTGGGTATATTCTTAATCTCCTTGCGATAACAGGATTGCTCAATTTGTTTTTTACTACAGATCCCTTGTCTCTGTTTCCGATGAAAATCTATAAAAAAAAGGAAAGTAAAGAAACATTTTTTTGCCAATAGCGACCTTAGTTAAGAAGAGTACAAGAGAAATGGGATATCAGCTTATTTTGTACAGTGAGAAGAGAAGGTTTCACCCGCCGTGAAAAGAATTTACGTCGCCACAAAGTGGGTGGAAAAAAGTATTGGAAAAAGTTATATAAATGGCTTGATTGCACAGGTTGCGCAGAAGATGCGAAATTCTTGAATAACTTTCAAATCTGTTAAAACACCATTTACAGTGGAATCAAGCGCTTACTATTCGATATTTAAGGGAATGATACTATCCTACCTTATCTCGGTTATCTTCTCTGTAAATGTTAAATGATGATCCCGCTAGATTACTTGTGACAGTATAATTCTCCACCCATCTGTTATTATACGCACTTCCCTGTGTAGCCAGGCCTGTTATCCTGTAGGGTTTACCAAAGTCAATCTGAAGGTACGGATCACGCCCCACTCCTGAACACCATGCATATCGTCCGTTCAATCGTCCATACTTCGCATGGTAGATCCAGCGTGTTGATGATGCTCGAATGTTACTATCGGGAATCTTCCCATCCTCCATTCCAAGAGCTGATGCACATTCTGTACACATAATATATAAGCAACATATCTTTTTACCTTGTATTTTTACTGTCAAGTCGTAATCATGATGAGGGAATCAAGGGGAGACACCCGTCTCTCTAGATCTGCTCTGGGCTTTCTAGATTCTCGGCTTCCCTGGCTGCCCCACACGGGCCTCTGGCACCCAGGGTAGGACTCGGCATCACATATGAGTCAGAGTTTCGTAGGTAACTCATCTCAGTCAAAGGTTTTTTCTCCTGGTTCTCCGGTTTTTCTCCCTAGACAAAACTCAACACTCCATTTTATTTAAGTTCATAATAATCAGTTTTCGTGTCTTCATCTTAACATATTAACCAAACGTATTTGTTCATTACATGTGCTCTCTTCTATCAAGCTTGGGACAATAATACTTCAAGGTTTTCTCCTTTACAAAAGAATGTCATAGATTACTGAGTTTAAACAATAATTATTTGGCAAGTTTCCCTTGGGTCCCACTGAATGAACTGTTAAATCTTGAAAAAAAAGTGCTTCAGCGAAAGAATGGCAAACGTAAAATATCCCGTCTAAACCCATAAAAACATACATAAAACTAGATTCCTACCAACAAAGTTTTTAATCTGAATCAGAATCCAAAGGAAGAAGCCGATTAAAGTGGTGTTTTAAGTCCAGACCAAGATGATTGTGCTGAATTATTTCCAGCGATGGCGTTCAAAGTCACGTTTGGAGCAGGTGAAGTTGTTCACATTTGGGTCTACTTTAGTAGCCTTTTCGAGGCCCATTTACGGGGAAAAAATATCCAAACACCTGTACTCTTTCCAGTGTTCTCATTTTCGCTTGAACTTTTTAGTTTTCTTATCGTCTGCCAATGTAAAACGGGAAGCCATTTTGAAAAAGAAAAGTGTGCAGTTTATGAGCGTTGCTAAGCAACTAAACTACCAATCATTTTCTAGTAATTCCGCCCTGAATTACGGAAAGAGCCCTCTTTCATTAGCCAATCAGCATCGAGTAATTTTCCCCCGTATATGATAAGAAGGAAAAGCACATGCATATTAGAGTATTTCGACGGCGTTTTCAGCTTGAAGGGTTTAACAATGTGGCCAACCACTACCATCTCTGACGGTAATGGCAATGGTCAAGATCTCATATTCATGGTATCATAGAAAGAAAGGTAGGGAAAGAAAGAAAGAAAGAAAGAAAGAAAGAAAGAAAGAAAGAAAGAAAGAAAG